ATATGTCAATACTTGAATCTTCAATATTTATAATTTTTAAGTTATCTCTTATGTTATGTTAATGGTATTTAAGCGTTTCATTTCTAAAATACAATATAAATGTTGATTGAGGCCATAGTCAACCCTAAAATCAAATTCAAACTCAAATAACAATATTATTAATTTATTTATAAATTAAATCAAAATTAATTTCACATTTCTTTTTCAATTCAATAACATTGTTTACAAAACAAGCGTTAATGCAGCTCTGGCCTTTTTATAATCATTGAATAAATAAAACGCGATGACATCACCACCATTAACATAAAAAAGTTGATCAATCGTTAAATTAGATGTGAAAAGAAAAATAGAAAATGAAAAAATAAAAAATTAAGAACTTACGTTTTGATTAACAAATGAAAATAAGAATGCGGTTAAAAAAAAAATATTCAAATTACATACATTTTTCATTCAATAATTATTAAAGTAATTAATTTGTATTTTAAATATATAAAAATATACACATACACATATACGTTATAAAAAAAAAAATATCTAGTTACTAATGTTCTAATATAGTTTACTATTTATGCTTGTTGTTTTTATTTTATGTTACGCCATAGTATGATAAGAACGGCCGTGTGGCCTAATGGATAAGGCATCGGACTTCGGATCCGGGGATTGCAGGTTCGAGTCCTGCCACGGTCGAAATTACTAACTTTTTGGAATACCTAAATTATAAAAAAAAATATTATTGAAATTTTTATAATATTACAAATTATTTTATGTTGTAACGGTTGACAAGCATTATGTTGGTATGGTGTGTGTGTATACAAAGAAGCATAAATTCATTAATAAGCTTAGAAAGTAGAATAAAGCAAGTGGTGGAAGGTAGGTAAATTTTTTTAAAATCATTTCTTTTTCAGTGTGTTGGAAGAAGTTTAGGAAAAAATTTCAAATTATTTTTTTTTTTAATGTTGAATTGCATACGAATTAAAATAAAAAATGCATATTTAAAATTTACTTAAAATTTTCTTTAAAAACTATCTGACTTTGTGCAGAACAAGGAAACTAGAAGCCCAAAAATGGAGCCATTACCATTTAAAAAGGTTAGCAATTTAGACACAATAACAAAAAATCAAAATTTTCATTATCATTCTTCAAATACTAGCAAGTAAGAACATAGCATTGCATTTTTTACATGCCAACACATTTTTCATTATTACACACCATACTCTTCCATATTTAAACCCAAATGGTAAAAACAACTAAAAATGCAATTGCACACTTAAGGTTGAACGAAAAAAAAATAACACAATATCCTTTGATTTAATTTAACTACCTACACGTATATGCACATACATTTATACATATCTACATCACTACATACACTATGTATATTATAATAATTTTTTTTTTTTTTTTAATAAAAGATATTGGTCTAATTTTACTATTGAGGGATTCTACTGGTATATCACAACAATACGATTTCCATATTTGTAAACTCACCATAAGGATTATCCTTTGTTAATGTTTTTCATCATTAAAAATCTTGGTTGTTCCTTATTAGGCAATTCGAACTGATGGAAACACCTTGAACTCCTTCAAGTTATTCAAGATTGCAAGTAAAGTACAAATGCGGACGTATTGATACATGAATTGACCCACTAGAATCCAAAACTCAATTTCAAATACATTCCAATATCTGACTTCCATGTAGCTGGATTACAGATGGTGCCAAACATCCAGTCATATGATATATGAATTTTTTTTTGCAAATTTATTTTCTAAAATATAAATCTAAAAATAGGATATGAAAAGTTTTAACTAAAATAGATAACTATTATATTAACTATATTTTTTTAGTTAACTAACGTAATTTAACTTGCTTAGTGGGTGTCTATTTTTTAATCATAAAATTTATACACAGTTTTAGTTTAGATTTAAACCTTTGAATATATTAGATTACCGTTTAAATGTTTATTTAATGGGAAGCTTTTTTTATTGGTTGTTGTCTTTGATTTAATTTATGTAAATATGATTTAATTTTGTATTGATGATATATAAAATATTATGACAGAATAGTATACATGGCCGTGTGGCCTAATGGATAAGGCGTCGGACTTCGGATCCGAAGATTGCAGGTTCGAGTCCTGTCACGGTCGATTAAATTTTTTTTTTATCTTTTTAATTTTTTTTTGATTAATTTATTTAATATCAAATTTTACTATAATATGTCATAGTAAACTTAATAATTATAATTTTTATTGAATATATTTAATTAATCAGGTATAATTTATAGTAAACATTAAGTATCACATATACATTATGATTATTCACAATGTCATTCAAGTATAAAACTTTGACATAGACAAGAAGTGCTGTAAACAATATTATTACTTTTATTACTTCACACTAGGTAGAAAAACTTGTTCTACATTCATGTTATGTGAAACCAATTTACCTTTTAGCAATCTTGTATTATGTACGTATTTAAAAAAAAATTCTCAATAAGTTTCCAAAGAATTTACATGTAAATTAAAATTTTTCAAACAAATAGTTAAAACTTGAAATTAATTTAATTCATATACGCTAACTTGGATACATTATCTGTATTGTAGATCCTATTCAATTCAAATAAGACATTAAGGTTATAAGGCAATAAATATTTAAATTTAATTTCTGTGAAAATAAATTAAAAAGTAAAGCACTTGATTCACTAAATTTATTAAAAATTTTTGATATCGAGGGTTCTTGAAAAGAGTAAAACTATAAGCTATAGTTATTCTAATCTCTGAAAAATATATTCTTGTAAATATAGATTGTAGTAAGTTATAAGGTTATAACATTAATATCAAAGTAATCTTAAGGCTTAGGTATTGTAATGCAGAATTAACTGTAAATATTATTTACAAAAAATTTCAAAATTGTGAAATAATTCATTTTAATTAATTTAAGTGACTTAGCTTTAGCAGCCTCAAATAATTACATATGTACACTTAAAAACCTTAAATAATTATGTATAGAAACAAATTTAGTTAAAATAAAACAATTTGAACAAGCATTATCGAATCTTCGCTTATATTTACTACATATAAGCATAGACGAATATAAATTTATTTGAATTGAAAAAGTTTTGTGGTTTTGAAGTTTTGAAAGTTCGAAATATAAAATATAAATAGAGAATTAATTTTATATTATTCAGCGTTTACTCTCTTTAGTTATCATTCTCTCCTCAAACAAACGATTACGCATTAAAATGAGTTTTCCGCAGGTTTGATGAAAAAATGACGCAATTAACAGTATTGCTTTTCTTGGACAAAGTGAAATTATTGTGCATATGAGTCTATCACTAACTACGTCGCCCTGCTGTCTGAGAGCACATATAGTTGGTGCAGTTTTTATATCCCCTTTCCAAGTTAACTTTTTTGGCAGGTCTCTATTGCATGTATTTCAGCTTGAAACATCGAGCAATACGGGTAGAGGCTCGCGCTTATGCATGTGTCTGACCGGATTCCGTACACATCAGAGTCCAGCTCCCAGTCCGTTTCGGACCCATCAAAAAAAATAAAAGTATGGTTTTAAAGGTTTTTATATAAAAAAATGAATTGACGTCATATTAAAAATTTATTTATTATCTTGTAATTGATTATATTCATATTTAACCATAGTTTTACTGCTAATGACTAATATTATGTAATTAAAAGGATTACAACACACCGTTAAATATTTATGAAAATAAAAATCTTCATAGAACATTAAGAATTTCTGACTTTATTATAAATTTTGAGAATATCCTTAGTTCTTAGAATCTCCATTATCGTTTCTTACTCAATTCTTATAAATATTTTTTACATAAAACTTGCAAAAAAACATCAAGTTACTGGAAAAGTAACGACCGTGACAGGACTCGAACCTGCAATCTTCGGATCCGAAGTCCGACGCCTTATCCATTAGGCCACACGGCCAATTTAAAGTACCATGAAAATTTTGCAGTTTTCATCGCTCCACATTATTTTTTTTTCCAAAAATGAAAAATATTAAATCAATTATTGATTTTTCAAAAATAATTTATGACACTTAACAACTTCTTGTTCAACAAATTTATAATGCAAATATTAACGAACCAAAAGGAAATGCAGTTACACTTGTTTTCATGTGTATGTAAATGTATGTGTATATGGATTAAGTCTACAAAAATTTGTGTTGTGAATCTTAGCTAATAGAAAAATGTGTAGATTTTGATATAAAATTTTTGTTTGTGTCTAAAATAAACCTACTGGCAAGTTCGGTAATGTTATTAAGTAAAAACTTATCAAAAACAACCACCTCTAAAGGACTTGTCATGTATATTACATTTTGCTAGAATAATTCCGGCAGATATTTCAATATTATTACTAGTTTTATATTTAATTGTATATAAAGTAAAGTCAATTATATTGCTATATTGTAATTAAGCAACAACTTAGTCCTTAATTATTTAAATGTAGTTGAACATTTTAGGTACTATATCTTTGATTTCGTTTTGTGTAGGTCCTTAATTAGATGAATAAAAATACATATAAATAACAAATTTTCTAACATCCTCAGCCCTTCTTGTTCAGAACTTTATTTGAATTTGAAAAAGAGTATTGTAAATAAAATTTGATATGAGCAGTCAAATAAAAATCGAAAAGGTATGCGTTCACACGGCTATTTTTTTCATGGAAAATGTTAACTTATCTTTTAACTATTAAAAAATTACAGTAACTTAATATATAAATTCCAAATTCTCTATTCCAAAATTACAATTTTCAATTTTCTATAAAAATAAATTAAAAATATTTATTTCAATTTCTTTGCAAATAATTTCCTTTTTGATTTCCTAATCAAATCTTTTAAATATTTTTCTTTTCCATTCTGTTCAATATAATTTTCTCGAATTAAACTGTTTCCATGTAATTGATCTTTTGAAGCTATTTTAAATTCATCATAATAATTATGACCTAAACTTAATTCATAATTAATTTTTAAATATGGACCATTCATTTTAGGTTGTACTGGTGGCCATTCAATTCCATCAATAGTAGCTGGTTTACCATCAATTATAAAAGATGTCCAAAGTTCTATAAATTTCTTTGCCATTTCTTTATCAATAATATTTAAATCTTCAACATGATCTGGATACGGAAACATGTATATATTTTCATCGGTTAAAGTAACACCAGCTGTAAATGGTGTACCTAAATCAAAATCATTATCGAAATCTGAGTATCTATTAAATTGTCCTTTGTAATCAAATGAATATAAGTACGATTTGTCAGGCAAATGTTTTGCATTACGATTAATCGCTTGTAATACCGGAATTTTATGAGCTATCGTTCCAGCCAACTACAATAAAAGATAATATTTATGAATTTCTGTTATAATAAAATATTGAAGAATTTTTTGTAATTTTCTTACATCAATTAATCCTGGTAATAAAGCTATAAAACTTCCATTTTTAAGAATATCTTCAGTAAAGAATTCATTTTTGACAAATGTTTTTAAAATTCCACTTTGATCATTTCCATAAATCTGATTAATAACTATATCAATGAAATCATCTGAATCAAAGTTTTCCGGTATTTGTCCATTGAAATCATTTTCAAAAATTGCTGTATTTATAAATTAAATTAGGGGATTATAAAAATAAATTTTGTGATAATTTTAAATTTACCTTTCAAAATTTTAGATCCAGCATTTTTAGGAGCTCCCCCTAAAGCAGGATATGAAATATTATTATTTTCAGCCCATAAAATTGACGGATGTTTTGGTAAAATTGGACTTGGTCCACCAATTGTAAATTGCATTCCACCAGCATCTCCTAAAATACCATTGGAATTTTCCAACTTTTAAGAAAAGTTATTTAATTTTTCTTTTACCATCTAAATATTATTTAAATAAAAATTCTCACCACATGCTCATAGAATCCAATTAATAATTCTACCACTGTAAATTCTGTGAAGCATTTATTTAATTCATGTACATCTTCGAAATTAGTATTGCAACCGGCTTTTGAAGCAATATCTTTCGCATATTTAATTGGATTTTCAGTTACGAAAAGTGGCATAACAGCTGAACCAGCCAAATAAATTACTTGATGAAATAAACCACGTCCAATCTAAAAAAAAAATTAAATAAAAAATTTTTATTATTATTTTTATTATAAATAAGTTGAAAAATTGAAATATTACCACAGGTGTAAATGTTAATAAATTAGCTATTGCTGCACCTCCAACTTGTCCCATAATCGTAATTCTATCTGGATCACCTCCAAAATATGATATGAAATGTTTTACCCATTGTAATGCTAAAATAATATCAAGAACACCAACATTTCCTGGAATTTCATCAGTTTTTGTTGAAAGAAATCCAAATGGTCCTAAACGATATTGTGGAGTTACAACAACAATATCTTTTTCTAAAAGATATTCAGGTGCTCCTTCAAGATTTGTTCCTTCAAATAAATATTCACCATGTATATAGAAGAGCACTGGATATTTTCCTGTAATCTTTAAGAAAACAATTTCATTAATTAATAATAGTGCGATAACAGGTTAAGGTAGTGTTCATATGTAGCATCCTATATATATATATATATACAGATAAATGTGTTTATAAAAATATTGACTTACATTCGGACTTGCAATATTTAAACTTAAACAATCTTCCAAATCTAATTTTAAAATGCTTGTTAAATTTCGAGTGAAAAGTCTTGATTCTTCTAATTGTAGAAAATATACCGAAGGACATCCTATTCCATCTGATGTTGCATCTGCTGTTCCATTCCACGGTTTAATTGGTATTGGAGGCTGAAATTGTAGGTTTTGATATAATTTTATAATGATTTCTAAGTTTTGAATTTTAATTTTGGAAAAATTACTTTGAAACGGTTAACACCACTCGGTGATTCAGCATAGCTTATATCCAAAAATTTATAAAAATCTCTGAAAGTCCATGCTGTATGTGACATAAAACCTTTAATTAAACCTAAACCAGGTAATTCAACAATTGGTTGATCAGCTATTGTTAATGTTGAAATATTGATAGCAATAAATAAAAAATAAAATAATAAATTCATTATTCAAAAATTTTGCCTGAACTGTTCAAGTTAGAGTCTAAAGAATGACTGAATATTTTTTATTCAAAAAATGTTCTAAAAAAAAAAAATTGTTTTTACATACACACATACACATATGCTATGCATTTTTCCATAATTGATTCAGAAAATTTCTAAATATTAAATTTACATAATATGCATATTTATATACATACATACAAACAATCATATATACCTATGAAAATATTGCTTTGGATTTTGAATCTAAAATATAAATCTATAATTTTATTGATCTCGGATGTTCATTAAAAGTTTTAAGACAACATATAGAACAACAACAAACTCTAAAATGCCGGCTTCTTTCTAAATTCCTATAAAAAAAGACAACAAAAGTTAGAGGAAACTTTAATAGAATTTGTTTTTGTTCAGAACTCTTTTATAATAAAAACAAAATAATAAAATGCAAATTATTAATAATATTAATTAAGAAATTTGAATTAATCTAGACTACTATATTCGTACAAAAATATTCGTATACTTATATTTAGTTTATTAGATTTGTTATCGGATTTTTGTTATAATTTGTATAACATATAACATAATTAATTTTTAACTATAATAATACGATATTACTAAAGAGTTGAGCCTTATTTTATACAACAGCCTTAAATATAAAAAGACAATTGTTCGAATGTCATTGGTAGAAATTTTTGAAAATTGTTCATGAAAATCCTGCAATGGTTTTTTATGTTATGGCAGAAAAGTTGTTTTGTTATGGCGGGTAAATTCATAATAGGCAAAATTGTATAATTACATATCACATCAAGTATTTAAAAGATCCGCAGATTTTCGGGATTCTGTGAGGCCCTCTTTCATTTTGAGAATCTACCTTCTACTGAATGAATAAATGCGACTTTCTTCCTCTTGAGAACGGAGTAAAGACCGGCGATTTAGCCAATTTAATTATATTTTATTGAATTGCTCAAACCAAAATACTCCTAGTTATTTCTTTTTACTCTTAGTTAAATTTGGAAAAGAAATATTACCAGAATTAGTTTTGCTATTGATAGCTGGCAAATTTTAGTTCATGAATAATTCGAAATAAATATTTTCGAAAATTTGAACGTTTTACCTTAGCATTTTTGGAATTTATATATGGGGAATATTTTTTTTTTTTTTTTTGCTATTATAAAATTAATATGAAAATTAAAATATTAGAATAATTTTATAGCTATTTATATTAGAAATTTAAAGTTCAATGACACTATCATAATTCTTAAATTAAACCAAAATGTTTATACTAAAATAATTCAAATTGATGATTTTATTGATATTTCGGATAGCCATAAACAAAATATGCTAAAATTTGAGTAATTTGGAATGATTTCTGAAGGGGGGGCGGGGGGGGGGGGGGGGTAGAGGGAAGAATAATTCCAGAATTAGTAATTTGAGTTTATTTGAGAGGATGGAGGGGTTGTAACACCAATAGATTCTTGTACGTGGTCGAGATGCACTGTTACAACGATTTTACAAATCAACAAAGGTGATTTTTGTACATAAGCAAAACTGTTTATTTATTATATAGTTTACGATAACCAATATCGTAATTTTAACATATAAATACGGTTTGAATTACCGTAGTATTTTTTTTTAATTAAAAAAACTAACTAACTTTCGTATGCAACTTTCTTAATTTTTTTTCTATGTGCTAAGCACAGAAATGAAAATCACAGAATCCACATGCTTACTGATCATCTTGTCAACAACTGATCACTAATTAAGGCGAAAATTATTAATAATTTTTTACAAATAAAATAAAATTCAGAATATAAAAAAAAAATTAATCTTTTTTTATGCGTAATTTATTCAAATTTCACAATTTTTTAGGTAGTTTTCACAATTCATGAGGTTAATAAAAATAATTTGCACGAATTTATTATAAATAAATAAAAAAAAAGCGGCTTAAAAAAATAAAATGATTAATTAAAAAATTTCGCCGGCGCTCTCATATCCAAAATATTAAGCATTAATTAAGGCAAAAAAAAAATTTTGCTTTTATACTTTTGTGGTTGTCACAGGTAAAAAACTGATCTACTTTCGATTTCTTGTAAATTCTATGAAAGTATACACAAGTTTTTTAATGTCATTTAAATATGCCCTCAATTCTAATCCACATAAATTTTCTAATTCTTCAAAAAACCCAATTTTAGCAAAAATTATAGTTGTTTTGAAAAATTAAGGCATTCTTTACCATCTTCATTGTAAACATTAGCTGACATCGGAATTTTTAACAATATCGCTTTGGTACACAATTCAGCAATTGCTATTTATAAGATGGATGGTGTATTTACACAACAACGAAAATTCCTTCATACAACTGCAGAATGAGGTAGTCAAAGGAACAAGTCAAGGTGAAAAAAAATTAAAAAAAATTTTCCACTCGTACTGAACTCGAGCCAGTAGGCAGGCGCTCTACCATCTCACTTACAGAGATTATGTATTGATAATTAATACAGTGCTGCCGCAGGTCCAATCTCAGGAGTATTAACTCTTATAAGCTTTCGCTTTAGTTTAGTTTTAAACTGTGCTAAATTTTTTTAATATTTATATAAATAGATTAAATTTAAAAATGCCCTTTTAGCTTTACACAGTTACATATATAGATCATATTTCTAAGCTTCTGATACATAGGTTTTAGAATTTCATTAATCTAATATTTTTTGTTTTTTTTTTTTGTTCTTAATTTTTTCGGGAATCTCGTTACGTAGAATCAATAACTATAAGAAACTATGAGAAACAATAAAACTATATAGCTAAGCATTTAAGGTCATTGAAATGATGTTGACGCAAACTATTTGTTTTTTATTACTGATTTATTTTATAAATAGAATTTTAAGTTGAAATTAATTTAACTTCAAGTTTTTGAGTGTTTTACCTTCTTACATAGGTACATAGGTAGATTGAAGGCTTATAGTAAATAGTCGATTAAGCTAATCAGTCATGCAAATTAGTAATTTGCATCCACCAAGTATTCTAAATTTATGAATTGAAAATTATAAATTAAATTATGTAAATTTCTTATTAAACATTTACTTAATTAAATATTCCAGAAAATCAAAACTATGAAAATAAGGTATAAATATTTACAAATCATTTGTATTTCTGTTTGTTTTTCTTAAATTTATTAATTGAAATTTTTAATTTTTAAACTGTAAGTGTTGTATAATTCATACTTTACGTTTATAAATCAAAAAGACCAAAAAATTTCTGATTGTTAAGCAAAAATGAATAATAATAAATTTATAGTTGACAATAGTTCAAAATAGAGGTCGCAACTTGTATCGAATACAAATTTTGACGTGTGTTTTCGAATCTTATTTCTAAAATGACGAATGGTAAATGGGCACGGCACGCAATTAAAAAAAGTTGATTCCAGTATTTTAAATGCACAATAACGAAATCGTAGCGTGGCGCAAAATAGATTTTTCAAGTGTTCGGTGTTGTAACTAAAGAGCTTTTTTCATTGTTTTCTCGATGTTTTATTCAAATGTCAACAATAATAACAAATGGTACATTTTGGCTCGCGGCACAATTTCTACGTACTACAGCGGCAACGCAGAGTTATTAATAACTACATTCTGTATATCAGATAAAACGAGATAGGCACATCAGTATACAATGGCTTCTAATGAAATATTTACTAAACAACACTTTATATGGCAGTTCAGTTCAGGATTAAATTATATATAATAATATCCTATAGGTAGCAATAACTTTTTTTTATTCTAAGTAAAATATTTTGATTTTTAATGATTCTAGTATATTAATTGCCCGGGGAGAGTTGCAGACTACATTTTTTTTCTGTCGAAGCACGCAATAAAAGAAATGGTTAACATATTAATTTTTAATGAATTCTAAGCGAACTTTCTCAAAACATGTTTTAATTTATCACACATAACAAAAAAAACTTCTAGACATTTTTAAAATTAATTCATTTGTCCACTTCCAAAATATCCATAATGTATTAAGCAAATATATTCTTCACATTGGAAAAATTTATTTAATAAGACACCGGTGCTATCATTGATTCAGTTCGAACGGAATTATCATTCGGTTAAGATGAAAATTAAAATATTTATAGCTTTTATAGTTTTAGTTGTAATATGTTTAACGGTAGTAGAGGCACAAAAACAAGAAAATAGTAATAAAAGACCAACAAGAAAACAGTCGGGCAATAAAAGAGGACAACAGCAGTCAATTAAAGAAAAATTTAAGAAGAAAAATGAAAAATTTAAACGTTTTGTTATAACCGATATCCCAGGAGTTGGCAAAGTAAGAGGTAGAAGATCAATAACAGCATGGACACACAAACATATGTATGAATATTTTGATATAAAATATGGTGAAACAACAAGTGGAAAAAATCGTTTTAAAGCACCAAAAGCAGCTAAAGAATGGACTGGATTACGTTCTGCTGTAGCACCAAGACATGGTTGTCCGTCTCTAGCTGATATTGATTTAGTTGAGGAAGCAGAAATTCAAGAATCTGCAGATTACGAAGATTGTTTAACACTCACAATCAGTACAAAATCGGTATGTATAATTTAAATGTTTCTATAAAATTTCATGCATCACAACTCAATAATTCCTTTATATTACGAAATATTTTTGAAATAGCATAGTGCTAAGGCACCAGTCTTAGTTTATATTCATGGTAATTATTTATATGATGGAAATCCAATTGAAGCTAGTCCAGAATATTTACTTGAAAAAGATGTTGTATTAGTTTCGGTACGTTATCGTCTTGGACCTTTTGGTTTCCTATCAACAATGACTGAACATATTCCTGGAAATGCTGCTGTTAAAGATGTTATTTTAGCATTAGAATGGATACAGCAAAATATTTATGTATTTGGTGGTGATCCAGATAGTGTTACGCTTTTTGGTCAAGTTGGTGGTGCTTCCATGATCAATATATTGACAATGAGTCCAATTGTACCAGATGGTCTATTCCATAAAGTTATTTATCAATCTGGTTCAGCTTTAACACCGGCACTAACAACTGATGATCCACTTGAATTTGCAAAAGAAATTGGAAAACAAGCAAAATGCCCGAATGTTAACTCGGTTGCAAAATTAAATAAATGTTTAATGAAAATGAATGTTACTTCAATATTAGAAGCATTTAATAATCAAGGATCAAATGATACTGATTACGGTATAACGAAATTTGGAGGAACTCAATTTGTAATCGGTGGTCCAAGTGAAGTTCTGCCAGATTTTCCAGGAAAATTGATTCAAGAAAAAAAAATTAAATATTATCCAACAATGGGAGGTGTAGTTAAAAATCCTGGAACATTTATATTAAGAGGTAAGTGTTGCAATACTCATACAATGTATCTTCAAGCAAATTAATGAATTTAAATGATTTTTTCTTTGTATTTTCCTAGATTTATATGAGGCACATTTCAACTTTAGTGTGCCAGATGATAAACTGACTGGACCGCAATATCTTGATTATATTATTGATCAAACAAATGGTGAGGATCCTACAGGACAATGGAAAAAATTTGCTATGAAAGAATTCTTTACGAAAGAAGAACTTGACAATGGAACATTTGCAGTACTTCTTCCAGGAATAATAGATGTAAGTTTTAAAAGCTCTTAGTGTTTATGTTTAATCTTTTAAAAAAACATTTATGTATATTTTTTTAGATGTGCAGTACAATACCTTTTAAAAATCCAGTTCTTCTTGCTCTTCAAGCAAATGCTGAAAAAATGCCAGAAAATACATTCCTTTATACTTTTAATTATGAAGGTGAATATCATTCGTTCCAATCGAGTATTGATGATATTGATGATTTGCCATTCGATATGGGTGTTTCACTTACCGATGAAAATATATATTTATTCCGTTGGCCAAAATCTGCAAGCTTCTTAAGTAATAGAGATTCAAGAATTGCTAAGCTAATGGTAGAATTATGGACATCATTTGCTGCGAATGGTGTACCATCATCAAATCGTGCTCCAGAATGGCCACCAATGACAAAAGGCAGTGGACCGTATATAAAAATTGATCGTGTTTCAACAATCGGACAAAATTTCTTAGATGAATATTCTGCTGCTGTACGAGAAGAAAGAATGGGTTTAACTTTAATATCAGAAAATTATTTTGAAAGTCTTGCTGTTGAAAAGCAACATGAACAAGAAGAAGCGGCCTTAGCAGAAAAAGAACAAAAAGAAAAAGAAAATGATGCAAATAACGATAATGATGAAGATTATGGTGATGAAAAACCAAAACTTAATTTTAAAAATAAAAATGCAGACAATGATGACGGTGATTATAATGACGATGATAACGAATCAGAAAGAAGTTTATTAAAAAATGCTAAACAGAGAGAAAACATTGTAATTGCTGGCAGAAATGAATGATTGGAAAAATGTATTTATCAAAACTTTAATCTTTTAGAATGTTAAGCGGCATTTCGTAATTTTGCAAATATTTATATTCATTATTTAAAAAAAAATCATATTTAATTTAAATAATTAAAATAAAAAAATTAAAACAATTATTTTCGATTATTTATATAAAATTTTCATTATTATTGCAGTTGTGGGTTGGTGTTCTGTGATTTGGCTCGTTAAATTATTCTGTTAGAAAAAATTTTTGTTCTGCTTTTGTCGTAGAATTTTATGGATCGTGTAGTTGCTAGATGCATGTTTTACGGTTTGTGTATTTGCTAAGAAGAACAATTAGTTTGGTTTTTTACTTTGATAATTTTATACTTACAGGAATTATCGATAAGAAAAATGTCATCAAAAATAATATTTACTAAAATGCTTATATTTTGATAACATTCACGTTATTTTAATTTTTAAATATTTTAGATGTGAGATTATCGTTTTATCGTTAAACTTCATTAATCAAAAAATTCAACCAAATACCTATTAATTTGAAGCAAAGTAAAATTCACTTAAAAGTTTAGCTTAAGTAGAAATATTGAAAAATTTCATTAAAATAAATGAATTTCATTATTTAGTCTATAGATGATCATGTAGATAGTCGGTGGATAAAAGCAGATGATAAGTCAAACAAAATCAATAAAAAATTTTCGTTGTCTTTTGTTATTTTTACGTCTGAAAGGAAATAATAATGTAATAGACTTGCGAAAATTCATAGAGTCAAGAATCAAGCATTTTGTCCAATCCATATGTATGAATCAAAGCTCTATATAAAATTTTTTGAACTGGAAAATCGCACTGGAATTTTTTATGTTGCTAAGCTTCAGATACGATTTGCTCGATTCAAAAAATATGTCGGATGAATCAAAATTGCACTCAGCCGACGAATTGTCTTCAGAAATTCTTGTATTCTATAAATGCAATAAATGTGATAAATGTTAAAAAATTGTCATAATAAGCTTGACTACTCGAAGTTATCTCATACATTTTACTACTCACGTTTTCGAATTTGGAATCAATTTCAAAAATCCTGATCCTTTCCCGTAATAGTTGAAAATTGTATTGATAAAATTAAATTTTCAATGCAACTACACAAAATATTTAAAAGAGAAATCTCATTCCTAAAAATCCCGTCACATTATAACCAAAAATTAAAGCATAATTTTTCATATTTTCATGTTAACATAGAAAGAGAAAAAAAGAGAAATTTTATTTTTAATTACCTATACAAAATACAAGTACAAGAGTCAATCGCTCATATTAAAATTACGAATTTATACGAAGTACATTGCAACATTTAAATTTACAATAAAGAAGATGAAAAATTTTCATTTTATAACCGGTTATTCCTTTTTATTTTAATTCTTGGAAATTTTTCAATTTGAATATATCTGAAAATTTACTCTCTATCAATACTAGTTTCCATATGAAATCCAACATTCCAGAAAGTGATTAAATCTAATTAATTGCAATATAAAACATAAAAAAAAATAAAAATGAAAAATCAAATTGTAACGATAAAATACAAGATCAGCTATAAAAGATCGCCATTTTTTTTTCTCTTCTTCAAATTTTCTTTATTTTTTTTTTAGTTTTGCTTTCTGCTTTAGTTAAAACTTAAAAATATCGGCGAATATCCTATAAAAATAAAATAATGAATACCTTCATATTAACCTACAATATTATGTATGTAAGTATGTATGTATGTATGCAATGCGGATTGATAACAAGAATTCAAAAAGCAAATATCCAAAATAAATCCTTCTTTTATTCCACAGTTATTGCCTTGCTACTTACATTGGGTTTATAATGTAGTTTTTATTGCCTTGTTGCTGTTCTTGTTGTCGTTGTTCTTCTCAAATTCTTATTTTTGCTTTATTGTTGTTGTTGTTGTTGTTGTTGTCGTCGTCAAATTTATATTTTTTTAATTTTTTATCATATTTTTGCTCTTGCACTTTATCTCGTTACCTAAATTGATGTCTTAATGGATTCCATCCAAGTTAGTATTCAGATAATCAATGGAAATACAAACATACATATACATATAAAATTGTATGTAGTTAAGTTCTATAGAACCGAATTTCATATATGAATGTATACAGAAATTATATAACTTGCGCCGATTAATACCCCATTCCAAGTATCTTTGATAATGGAACTTTGGATAGGTTAGAACAATATAATGGTATTTCTTAGTAAAATGAAATTTTGAATGTACGAACCTGCAGAAGTATTATCTTTTCCAAAAGTTTGTAGAAACCATGAACAATCCTATACGCATGTAGGATCGAATTAAATTTTCTGAGTGTGATGAAACGAATTTTAAATTGCAGTTATACCCGTATGAATGAATGTTCGAAGGCTATTATAAATTTGTCAGTGAGGAATTTTGAGCAAAAATTCAAGTATAGCTGCCATACATATCAAAAAATAATATTTAGTTATACATCCGAAAGCTGCAGTAAAGCTTTCAGTACTCAAATTTTACAAAATGGAGATTTGTAACGAACACACTACTCCAAAAAAATGGTTATGATTCTTTAAATTCTTGTGATAGTTTCCATAAGACTTCAAAAATAAAATGGTATCTTAACTCCGAAAATACAAAATTCATAATATTCAAATTTGACAATGAAATTGCACAAACGGTTTTGACAATAGAGCTAGCATTTCGACGAAATACTAGATCTCTTGCCAAAAAACTCAAATATGAAAAATTGAGAAAATTTTAGAGAGTATACAAGAGGGTATACTTAATTTCACTAGCACTATTCCATTACTCTACAGAAATGTTACCAGAACTCTTGTCAATTATCATGAAGCTTTTAGAAAAAATTTGTAGTGGTATTACAGAGTTGATACTATCTACTATATTTTTCCTCGTTTTATTAAAAATTAAGACCATTTTGATGATTTGACGATTTTTATCATCGCCAATAAAAATTTATATGTGGGATATTAAGACATATTTGGCACTAGGATTTTCTTAATAAAGATTAAAATAAAATTTATTTTACCAAATTTGTTAGAATTACTAGTTCTATAACATATTTTCATCGAAATTTGGGCAGTTTTACTCAAAAATTCAAAGGGTCTCAAAAAAGTAAGCTCAGAAACCCATACGCAACTATCATATTCAAAAACCGTATCTTAGACAGAAAAAAAACAGTGAAACCCTTTCATGATCAACCCTCTGTATAATGAACAACTCCATTTAGCGAATTTGAGTATATACGAGTATATTTCAAAATTTTTGAAATCTTGGGTGTTCCTTACATAGAAATGTACTTTATTTAGAAATTCATCATTTAACTATGTCAAATTAGGAATCACCTTCATTAATTTTTGAAGAGATATACAAAGTTTTCTACATAGATATACATATATCTTCATATACGTATGCAATTATACTTTTAATAATAGGTGACTGTTGCTGCCAAGTGACTATATAAAATTCTATAAAATAAAATCTAAATATTAGATACGGTTTTTAAAATCCTTCACCAAATATTTTGGCATTAAATCAAAGCCCCTTTTTTGTTTTCATTCTTATTTTATATAGCATTTATAAATTGAATGATTTGGTAATTTGATTATAACATTAATAAGAATAATAATAAAGAAAAAAAAATTGTAAAAAGTCTGACCCAGCGGGTGCTTTTTTTCTTCTTTATATTTTGATTGAATTTTGATAATCATATATCCTTTATTGCCCATCGGAACGAAAACTAAACCGGTAATCTTTTATTTGTATAAGAGTAAATGAGTAATTTATGCAATTTTAGAAATGAATTTAAAAAACGTTTATAACATGTTAACTCATATAATATTTATATAGGTCTGTAGAAGGCATTTTAGTTTTTTTTACAGGCTTCTTGAACAAATTAACTAATAAATCTTACATTTTCCTTGCACACGAATTTGAGAATATTTTTGACTGTAATCAAATTGAATTGATTGTCCGTTGAAAAATGAGAAGAATTTTTTGATTACTTAAGTTATTATACAAGCACGGAGACTTATTTTAAGAAGCGAATCACTATTGTGATTGTATTAAATTCAATTTATAGGCTTATGTATTACCGAATTCGGTACATACTCAGGCTACCAATCTAATGCAAATTCTTTATAGGTATGAATAAATTTGATGTAGATATGAAAAAATCAGTTTCTCATCCGGAATCGAACTGATCAATTGAACTTCGATGAAATCTGCACGAAATGTTAATATTTATTATACAGCAAAACAATAGCAAACATAAAATTATGTTTAGTTTTTGGTATGACGAATATATGCCAAGAAAATTGCCAAATGTGATAATTTAATTTCTTTCAGGATGTTCAAGACTCAACAGTATTTCTGCAGTAGAATGATAGAAAGCCTCTGGACGAACAAAAAAAAAACCATCAGTATTTTGCTTTTTGACCCTTTTTCTGGAATTATGAGGCCTCAAAGTAAGAATTTCTAATAAATTAGACGGTTTTAAGAAATTTCAACTTCCCATAACTTTGGAAGAATGGCCAGCAAAATAGGTTTAAGTGTTTTTTGTTCGTTTGGAGATATTCCGACGCTCTTTGCATGAGTACTGTTGAATTTTGTTCATATAAATATGATATATTACATATAGCAAATTTGCCAAAAAAATCAGACGAATGGAAATATTAGGTGCCATGATTATGCAAGTTTGTTAAAAGAGTAAAGAATTTCATTGTGATAGCTTACTTTGTAAATATATTGTCAATATTTTAGAATGCTGCCATTGCGAATGAACTAGAACTTGTTACTATATGAATTCGCCGTACAATTAAGTGAATTCGCCATTTCTAGAGAATTCAACAAATTGACGAACTCACCATAGATATAATATAGGCTTCTTTATTATTTATATAAAGTTTATACGTGCATGTGTAAATATACCTATGTTAACATATCTATGTAAATGATCCTATGTAAATGTAAAATTAATTTA